GAGGGTTCTGAGGGTTCTGAGGGTTTCTAACCTGGTGTCCTTCATCCGAGGGACAAAAAGGTTTGATTAAAACCCAGTATCTTTTGGGGAGAGCAATGGGCCCACTTATGAGGCCCCCTCTCACCTGGGTTGTACCCTTCCCCAATTACCATTACCATCATCCTGAGACAATAGCAACCGTTAATGGTGCTAATGATGCTAATGCCACTAACTCTGCTAACGCCACTAATATTGCTAATGCTGCTAATGCCGCTAACATTGCTAATGCTTCCCTAAAGCATCAAACATGCAGTTACGCTCAATATCTGAGCTTAACTTCAAACTGTCACACCATTGTTTTCAATTAACACATTTTAAAATAAAAAAAAATCATTACCATCTTCAGCAGCATTAACAGTGGTTAACATTGTTTGTTGCAGTGAAGAAATTTATAGTTATTACAGGTTAGTACTGATGTTAGAAACACAACACTATATTCTTAGGTTTTTCTTTTTTAATGTTGACWATGTTTAATCTATTATGTGTTGATTGATATAGAGTAGTTACATGTCTGAATTATAAACAACACATAATTGAAACGTTATTATAACATTGGATTGAGACTTTTGTATGAATGCCTGTGATTCAGCCGTAGGTCAGTAGTGGGCGAACTCAGGCATTGAAGAATCATGTATAAATTGATGCACTTCCTGGCTTTTGGCCAGTGTGGTTTCCTGTCAGCTATGTGACAATAAACCCCACTTGGTCCAGAATTCTGGTTTTGTATGGTTTTATTCCTTCTACAAATCATTTTATTTAACTTTGGTGGTTTTCATATTGACTTGACTTCAGTCTATTGAACACGTAATTTTCTTACAGCAGGATGATGGCTTTATCCTGGTTAGCTAATGCTACTTTAGATTTAGGATTTAGTATTTACATATATTATTTAACATTTAAATTTAACAATAAGTGGAAACGAGAACAGTGAGCTAACTAACAATAAAATGTTAGTGAACATTTTTTTATTTTATGCACAGAAAGTCAGCTAAATAATTAAAATGTGTTAGTGACATTTTTTTAACAATTTGTTTTACACCTGGAGCCCCATAAACAATCCAGAAATACAAATATATTCACTTTTTTTAAATGTACAATTTTGTTGGGTTGTCCAATGTCCAATGGTTGAGATGCTCACTTGAGAAAATATTAGTGTTTCTAAACAACATTCCGCTTTGGTTTTTGGTTCAWCTCACTTTTTCGCAAAAATCCATCTACAACAGGTAAGATGGTTATTGTTCATAACCCCTCTGCAGAACCACACTTCAAAAGATTTGACTTTTCCCTTGAAGTTATTCCCCATGGAAACATTTGTTTCAGGAAGAGGTTCTGTGTGTGTGTGTGTGTGTGTGTGTGTGTGTGTGTGTGTG